ATATTAAGCCTTCAGGCACTGTTTTTTTTTTTTGTTTTTTTTTTTCTGGCTTACAAGTTTAACCTCAAAGCTCACCTACCCGTTTAGTGACATTCCTGCATACACACAGTGAGGTTCCATCCCCAGGGAAATCAGTCAGCACCATATCTGACCTCAAGCTGATCTGGGATAGGATCACACATTCAGGTAATTACTTTTTTTGTCCCAAGCAGAGCATCAGTTCTTACTATAAAATTCTCTTCTGAAGTATTCAAGAGTTGTCCACATTCTGTTGTGAGTCACCTTTCTTTCCCTGTGGCACTCAGTGTCAGCAGAGGCTGAAACTGTCATTTCTCAGTTTCTAAATACAAGGTAAAAATACAGTAAACCAATAAAATAGTTTTCAGGAAAAAAAAGGGGCTTTTTGTTCATATTTCATCCAATAGGCAATAATAAGCATGATATCCATGCAAAGGTACATAGCGATACTAAACTGAGTGGTAAATCTAAAGCTACAATGGTGTCCAGATTACCATATATCAAAGCCAGAAATAAAAGAGAAGCTGGGATCTTCAGTATTCTCTAAATCTGCAGTGCTCAGCCTGTGTTGGTAAAACATTGCTCAAAGCCTGCTTTGAAGAGCACATGCCAAAATTTGGAATTCCAGCCTCAGACTCTAGTAAGTGGCTTCTCAAGTTTGGGGCAGCTTCCAGAATTGGAGCCTCCAGTGACACTACAGACTTCTGTCAATAAGGAGGAGGAGGGGGGTGGGAGTTGATAATGACCTTGTACCATTTTCCTGGCCATCCCTTGTTTGAATCTACCCCAAGTTGCACCTGCTTATCTGCACGAGCACTGTGGTAGCCAGCTAAGTGGCACTATAAATGCCTGAGAATCATAGAATCATTTAGGTTGGAAAAGACCTTCAAGATCATCATGTTTTAGAAAGTTGTGGTGAGAACAGACATCAATTATTCCCTATAAGGAATTCCTGGTGAATATTTCTCTTGAAGCTCTGGCCCTTACAAGCATGATCCTGCAACACTGTGCCAAAGGCAACATAATCCTCAATGGTTGTGGCAGCCAGGGAAAAGAGGAAGCCCAAAGCCTCCAGCAGGCTTGATTTCAAAGTTTGAAAAGCCTAGCATAATACAAGTGCTGCACAACATACATAAAATGTCAGGCTAAGAATCTACTGTTAAAAGAAATATCTCCAGAATATACTTACATTAAAAAAAAGTTAGGTATCTTTAGAATGGATGAACCAAAGAAACAGCCCTTCAGGCAGACATCACCGTAGGGCAGTGAAGTTACACTGCTGTGGATTTTGTTTGGTACAGACAGGACTGATATCATTAGTCTAGTCACCAACACAAAGGCTACCTCAGTCTTCCAAGTTAGTGACCCTGTTTTCAGTTCTTCACAACGTTATTTGCAGGCTGAAATCTTCCAGACTTAAAAAGAAGCATGTGAATATGATGTGAGTTCAGGAAGAATTACTGAGAAGGCTACATGAATGCTATCCAAAGGCACCTGGACAAGCTTGAAAGTCTAGTGAGGTTCAACGAGGCCAAGCCTACACTTGGGTCACAGCAATCCCAGATACGTGTACAGGCCAAGAGAATGATGGTCTTTAAAATCTCTTCCAACCCAAGCCATTCTGTGATTCTGTGGTCTGCCATTTTCTTTGAATGACGAAAACAAATACAATCTCCAGTTCTGGAATAGATGAAAAAAGTTCTCAAAGGAATGACTGTATATTTAGGGTTTCCAAAAGGGAGAGAGGGGGAGAGATGATTTTTTCTTCAAAAGACTAAAAATACAAAGAGTAGCCTGACATAAAGAATTGGCTTGAGAATCAAAGAAAAATGAGTGTAGTCACTAGTCTAATGAAAACACAAAACTAGTGCAAGAAGACAGAATTCAGAGCAGGCCACTAATTCCCAGAGCCTGACACACAGTCACAGATTCTCAGAGGCACCAGCAATCTCTGGTACAGTAAGTGGCAGCACTCATTTGATCCCAAATTTCTTATGAATATCTGGTTTGACATCATATTCCACCATATTCCACATTTACAGGATTAGAGGATTGCTATTTCTCACATGATCATCTGCTCATGCTACTTACTCCCCATCTGCAGTCACTGACTGCATATGCTGTGAAAATTATTGTCATCATAGATCAAAGATTATGCCTCCAGAAGACAGATTGCAGGAGGAGGAGAAGAAAATCTCAAAAAATATGGGTTGCATCAATATCGCATGAAGTGCATTCCGTAATAAAGAATGAAAGGTTTGCTATGCATGAACAAGGTAAGACTTTCAGTAGAAGCCGAGAAGAAATACTTTTCTTCCTTGAATCATTCTTGTTTCTTCCGTCAGCTTTTGCAAGTCAGTTATTATATTTGGGTCTCTTTTAAACGTGCCTTATTATAGCAGAAGGGCTTACATTAGTTTGGGTCAGGGCATACTGGCAATACTACCTGCCAGCCTCTCATTTGATGAATCAAAAGCATTTTTTTTTATAGTTTTCTCTCTGAAAAGGTGGTTGTCAGTTTTTAAACTGTCAGGCTTGAGTAGTGTACATATTCAAGAATATGTGCCTTATTACAGTAATTTCCAGCAATGATTCTAAAATGAAGGTTTTTTGGCAATAATTTTACTATTTTTCTGCTTTTCTATTGCCTTTTGGTTAGCCTGCTGACTCCCCAACTCCCACATTTCCACAGTTATTACTTTCACTCACATATTCTAAATTTATTCTTTTTTTTTTCTTACAAAATAATAATAATAATAATAATAATAAAAGAGTAAGACCCAGATTTTCCAAAATTAATTTTTGCAGGTTTTTTTTTCTTCATTAAAATGTTGATATTGCCCAGACAACCTTTTTTTTTTTTTTTTTCCCCTGTGAAAAATCATAGCTTTTTTCTTTTTAATTATAAATCCTAACTGCACTTTTTCACATTCCTGGGCATGAACATATCTGCTTCTGAAGTTCAGCTGCACTAATGAAATCAGGGCATGTGCAGGAAAGCCGCCAGATACAAACATCATTTATTTTTTCCTTCAGAAGCAAAGGGAATTCCAACCTGTGTGACACGCCTGGCTCACAAGCTTGTCAAAGGTGTGTCGTGCTACAATGGCTGCATTGTCTGCCTTGAAAAGGGTTATGCTGGTGCAGAAGGTGGCAAGAAATTATGAAAGATTCAATAAGAGCTGGCAGTGTGCGCTTGCAGTCCAGAAAGCCAACCATATCCTGGGCTGTATCAAGAGAAGTGTGACCAGCAGGTTGAGGGAGGGGTCTCTGCCCCTCTACTCTGCTCTCATGAGACCCCACCTGGAGTACTGCATCCAGTTCCACAGCCCTCAACACAAGAAGGACAGGGAGCTGTTGGAACAAGTCTAGGGGAGTGTCTCTAAGATGATCAGGGGGCTCGAACTCATCCCATACGAAGACAGGCTGAGACAGTCGGGGCTCTTCTTTGGGACATGGAGAAGTCTGCAAGACATTATAGCAGCCTTCCAGTACCTGAGGGGACCTATAGGAAAGCTGGAGAGGGGCTTTTTATAAGGGTAGGTAGAAATAGGACAAGGGGAAATGGTTTTGAACTGGAAGAGGGTAGATTTAGACTAGATATCAAGAAGAAATTCTTTACTGTGAGGGTAGTGAGCAGCAACAGCAACGTGTTGTCCAGTGAGGTTGTGAATGCTCCCTTCCCGTAAGCATTCAAGGCCAGGCTGGATGGGGCTTGGAGCAACCTGTTCTAGAGGGAGGTGCCCCTGCCTATAGCAGGAGGTTAGAACTAGATAATCTTAAAGGTCCCTTCTAACCCAAAGCATTCTATGATTCTATGATTCTAAATCTGAAATCTCAACTGTGGACACAGTGAACATTGAGTTGCCTGGATCCCCTCATTTCCACCTCTCAGAGGTGCATCTGTAGTCACATTAACATTTTGCTCTATCACTTGCACAGTCTGGAGGAGTCAATCTTTATCCCTATCTTTGAGTTAGAATCGTAGAATTGCTCAGGTTGGAAAAGACCTCGAAGATCATCAAGTCCAACCACAACCTAACCATACTACCCTAACTCTAACAACCCTCCACTAAATCATGTCCCTGAGCACCACATCCAAATGGTTTTTAAACACATCCAGGGATGGTGACTCAACCATCACCCGGGGGAGCCTATTCCACTGCTTAACAGCCCTTTCTGTAAAGAAGTCCTTCCTGATATCCAACCTTTAAGTCCCATAAAATGTAACACATCTGTAATTTTAAGAAAAAAATGATTATTAAATAAAATTGGAGTTTTAATTACAATAATGTCTATCAAAGACAAGTGTTCAATTATATCTGAATTTCAAACTCAAGCCAGACCAGTCAGGACAGCATAAATGCCTACAGCTATACTACACACAAACACTTTTTACCAAGGTCAGTTTTGACTTTGAACAGTTTATCTGAAGGAAAAACAAACAAACAAACAACCCTGTTACACTTAAAACCCATGTAAGCATACAGAATACTTACTCAGCTCTGTGAAACAGTGACTTCAATCTGTATACTTAAAGAAATGCTTAAGAAATAGTAAGAGGAGTACAAAAGTACTGCTTACACATCTTCCCAGCTGTACTATTATTAAACATTTATTCAAACGAGAAGATCTTAAAAACACAGTTTAGATCAACTATGGCTATTTACTTTTTGAATTCCTGCTCTAACAATGAAAAAGGGAAGTCGCTTTCATTTCACATTTTAAAGTCAGTTCCACTGCTTATTTTTATCTGAAGCCACTGGAACAAGCAACTTATTTGTGTTAAAGCAACTTTTAAAAGGAACCTATTTTGTTACAGAATCTTTATCTGTTTTAGTTCTATTAAAAGTCTCTTCAGCAAACTGCTAAATTTGAGATGAAATGGCATGTTCTTTAAGAAAACGTGCCAAAGATTAGTAACAAGTCTGTGCCAAAAATCACACTTTGATCCCAAAATGTCTTACAGAAGCACAGCTCACCTCTCCTCAGAAGAGGTTTTGGGGCACAAGGGAGGTTCCTTACATCCTCTGTCTCTGAGTGCCATTCAGGAAAGAGCTTTCACTCCTGTACCCAGCCGCATTGGTTGGACTTGCAGCATGGAAAAAAACAGACCAAAGCAGGTCAGTGATCACTCAGCACAGGGACTGAATAACAGACTAAGAGCTCATCTGTGTCAAAAAGAGAAAAATGTAAAAATCTCAGCAAGGCTACAACATTACAACACAGCATAAAGGACAGGAGACTCTTTGCTGTGCGCCCCAATGCATTGGTAATGTCATCCGAAATCTGTGGGAAGGGGAAAGACATCTGGAAATGGGCTTTTCCGTCAGATTTGGGGCAAGCTGTTTAGTCACAGAACAGGCGCACGAAGAGAGGCTTAGCCTCTTTTGTCCCTGCTGAATTTCGGCCTCTCAGTGGATGACTTCTACCAGGATGCATTCCCAAGGGCAGCTGTAGGGGAGGAATTGCAGGAATGCTGGCAGCAGCTCCCCGGCTGGACTGGCTCCAAACTGCACTCTGGGCCACTGCAGCTTCTATGAGCTTTGGTCAGCCTCTGCTAAACCCTGCCCTGCTCCAACCTGCAAATCCCGCTGGGAAATAAAGTGGCAGGACCACCAACTGGGACAGCTGGACAGGTCAGAATGGAAGAACTCACAAGAGGAGTTCAGCCCCTTGTGCACATGCACAGTGATACTGATCTTAATGGCATATCATGTTTTTTTGTGTACTCAAGGCGGCAGCCTTTATGGTTGCATAAAAAAATATGCTGCAACACTGAAAAATCAAGCTAATCATACACATATTACGACAGCAATGAAGAATAGTCACTTTTTCAACGGGCTGGTAGCAAAGGAGGAAAGAAAACCGTAAAAATACAGTATGTCAGTATATAGCAGGAGACATTCGGCATGAGATTCTATGGCTTCTAGTTACAGTGTTGGAGGTTTCTACACTCACAGTTTAAGTGGTATCTAGACAACCATCTGACGCTGCAATCTTTCCAGCGCCTTCCCCCTTCCTAGTGATGTTTGACAGCAACGTGAGCTTCAGGCTCGAAACAGGTCTCACATGCAGAACGTTTGGTCCTCCCGCAGAATCAGCAGGCACGTCCACAAGAGCGCAAACTCACCCACCAGCCATCAGACAACACATTTTGGACATAAGGAATCCTCCTGAACTCAGTCATATCCCTGTGTAAACAGCCACAGGGCTCAGCACTGGCACCGACGAGCCAACAGCCACATATAACACTGGTCAGGGTATAACCCTACTGTAGGTTAAGGCATAACCCCTTCCCTCATTGCGACCTTTGGATCCTATCATTGTGAGAGCTGTAAAAACGAAAGAGCCCTGGAAGGGATGTGCTCACACCTCTGCTTCAGGCTGGCTCAAAGTCAGCGCTCTCCAAGTCAAAGCTCTCACCACAAACATCCCCTCTGCGTGTCTCTGCAGGGCACAGCTCACACACACACACACACACATAGGAGAAAGAAGGCTGGAGGGAAGCCCCAAACCAACTAGCCGCCCATCCACCTTCCACCGAAGAACAGCACACTCAGTTCAGGTCCTTGGGAAGAGAAGCCCACCCAGGGCTTGGCTGAACGCGCGCATACTCACACGCAGCTCCAGAGCTCTCTGCGGTCCCCTGCAGCTCTACGCGAACAGCCCTCTGCCCTCCCGCAGTCTCGCAGCTGCTTTTGCCCTTCCCGGGGAAAACCCGCGCACACTCCCGAGGACAGGAGCCAGGCGGGGCCGCTGCTCGCCGCCTCTCTCCCCGTGCCTCCGGCGAAACCCGGACGGCCGTGCCGGCCTCACGTACCTGGCGGCGGCGGTGGGGCCGGCGGGCACCACAGGTGCTTCCCCAGGCCGGGACGAGGCGAGCGGGCGGCGGTGGCGGCGGCGGGAGCAGCAGCACCGCCCCGGGGCCGGCCTCACCTGCTGGCGGCCGGAGGAGGAGCGAGGCCGGTTCGGGGCACGGAGCTTCCAGCCCCCTGGAGGAGGCGAAGGTCGAGGCGGCCGCCTTCACCTCAAGCACGCGGCGGGGAGAGAAGGGGAGAGGAGAGTCTGTCCCGAGGCGGCTTAAAGCCAGCGTGGCCGCGGGGTAGAGGCGCTGCAAAGTCCCAGATCCTTTCACTTTCCCTTCCTGCCGCAGGACCTGGCAGGAGGCGTGAGGCTGAGGGTGCTGCCTCCCCGCAGGGTCGCTCACCGTCCCAGCTCCGCACTCAGGGAGCCTGGGTTTAACTGAATTGGTCCAGAGGGGAGTAAAACCGGATGCAAAAATGAGATACGGAAATTAATCTCATTTTAATGCCTCTGTTGATGAGGGGGAAAGAAAAATCAGATAGCAAGTTTTTGAGAGTTGCCGTCTGAGTACTGTAGTGAACGTCCAAAGAATGGCAGCAAGGCTTGTGAAGGGTTTGGAGAATGTGTCTTGCAAGGAGCAACTAAAGGAACTGAGGCTGTTTAGTCCAGGGAAGAGGAGGGTGAGGGGAGAGGAGACCTTATGGCTCTCTTCAAATTGTGATCTTCAAAGATGATTGCAGCGAGAGCAGGGTTGGTCTCTTCTCACTGGTGACAGGTGGCAGGATGAGGGGAAATGGCCTCAGATTGCATCAGGATAAGTTTAGGTTGGATATCAGGGAAGTTTTTACAGAAAGGGTTGTTAAGCACAGGAATAGGCTCTCCAGGGAGGTGGTTGAGTCATCATCCCTGGATGTGTTTAAAAACAGTTTGGATGTGGTGCTCAGGGACATGGTGAGTTGTTAGAGTGGTAGAGTACAGAGTTAGATTGCGGTTGGACTTGATGATTTTTGAGGTCCTTTCCAACCTAAGCTGTTCTATGATTCTGTTGGCAAAATCAGCCTCTGTAGTTCACTCAGTGATGTGCAGCAGAAAAGCCAAGTACAGCCCTTGTGCAAGGCCTGTGTGGTGGCTTTGCTCCATCTATCAGGGGAGCGAACAAGTGACAGCTGCCCAGTGTAATGTCACAGCCTATACAAGTACATATACTCTACAGATGACTGACACATAACTTTTCACATGGCTTTTTCGCTAGTGTGTGACACCAGTAGCTCCTCCAGGCTACCCAAACATCCCTATACCATTAGGAGTGGTCCAAAGTACCATTAGCATCCTAATAAAGATAAAATACTCCAAATTAGTGTTCTGTCCCAGTTTTGCCTGACCTGTTGTTTTCAAAGTGCTTCCTTGTACTCGTGATGAGAAGTGATCATTGCCAGGAAGAGGGCGGGTATTTGGGAAGTCAGCTGAGATAAATCAAAGGAAAAAAAAAAAAAAAAAAGAAAAAAAAAAGACACAAAAAAGAGGCACCAAGACACCAATTCACTGAGTCACAAATTGCCGGATGCTTCCGTGATTGCAGGAAAATGCTGCCAGACTTCCCTTCCTTGCTGCCACTGGAGAGGAGAGGCTGGGTACAGCCAGAACAGCTGCCCCAACGGCTCCAGCTGCACTGTGTGTCCTTTATGCCACATTTCCAAACAAAAAGCAGCTCGCTGTGAACTCATATCTGCCTCTGAGTTTCTTTTCTCACTTCTGTCTGCCTGGAGAAGCTTCCTAATCACCCCACGTGATTAGAATTAATATGAACTATGTGCTAAATGCACAACTTTGTATTTCTGCCATTAAATTTCATGTCATTTCTTTCTGCTGTCTGCAGATTCCTAGAATTCTTTCCACAGGGTATTCCAGTCTTCTCTGTTGTAACAGCAGGTCTTGGCTTCATGTCATCAGCAAATTTCATTAGCTTTCATCGGTTTTTGTGCCAAGGTCACTAATAAAATTTTAACTAAGATTAGTTCTGAGATCAGTCCCTATGGAACTGCATTAGTAACATCCTTCCATCTAGAGCTTCCTTTTCAGCTCACGCTATTGTCCTTACTTTTCATTTCTTACATTCATCCACATCTCTTCATCTTAATTAATATTTTCTTGCATGGCATCCTCTCAAATGTTTTATTGAAGTCCAGATAGATTTGATCTATGCTATTTTCATTGTTTGAAAAACTGATTTATCAGAGAAAGAGATGGGCTTAGTCTGGTATGTTCTTTCCTTGGTGAAGTCCTGTTGCATTTTAACAAGTTTTGCATTTACCTCCACATCTTTAATTAGTTTTTCATTCAACATTTGTTCTAAAGCTTTGTGTACTAATAAGGTCAGATAAAAGAGCCTGTAGTTGCTTGGATCACTTTTTTTTTCTCATCAGATCCCCCAAAAAGTCTCCATACTTTTCCAAGTCTTTCCTGAGCTGTGGTGTCCTCTAGGTGTGACCTGAAAGTAAAGCACAACATGCTTGTGATTGATTTTGGACTTACTCCTCAGGCTGAAAATCCAAATGTTACATATATTTTTTTGCCTCAAAGACTGCTTCAGAGGTCTCTTTTGCAAAATCTTGCAATCAAACTGCATGGTTCCCAGATTTATTTACCATCATGCCTTTGGGGCTTTATGCATGCAACCTGAATGCCCTACGAGTGCTTTGTGTGTCTTTCAAATGCATTACTTTTTATTTGTATTTTTATCATTTTAACGTTTTGTCTGCAACCACAAAAGAGCACAAAACAGTGCTTCTAGTTTCTTCTTTATGGACACTTCCAATTAATAGGTGTAGAATAAAACTTATTATTTTAAAGCAAATCATTTTGCTTGTGTCCTGTTGTAGCCAACTGGTGTCTCAAAATGAGGTGTGGAAGTAAAGTTCATGGGTAAGAGAATAGTAGGTTTGTCCTACAGAATCCAGAGTTATTTCTCTTGCATTACTTTGGTCTAAGAGATCTCTTTCCATGGATTTTGCCCCGTCCTTAGTTACTTCCCAACTGACTCCAGGCTGCTTTCTTACAGATAGTAACAACCATGGTAAGGTCCTTGCTGAGAGTTTTAATTCCTCAGAACTGTAGTGCAAACAGGATGGGAGGAAGGCAAATGCAGACATTCAGCTGGACTACCATACTTCCATATCCTTCCCTGAGCATGCAAGTTTCTCTGACTTTACCTTATCTCCTCTATGTCCTTGTGTGTTTGAGTAAATAGGACGTTGAGAGAACTTCAGATGGGCACCGACCCATGACTCTGAGCTCAGTTTGTAGAGAAAGATTATCTAGAAATTTTGAAGAGGGGAATGTCCAGTCCTTGAGATCTCCTGAGCAGCAGAGTTCAAGTCAGAGCAGTGATGGCTGCAAGGACTGTAGGATCACTGAAAGACTTTAGCTCAGTTGTTCATCATCTCCCTCTGGGTGAATGTGATCATAAGGCGTATATCACTTGTGTTGCTTTAACTGCGCTGGTAGGTGATCAATATTCCGTAGCCAGGATCTAAAGCAAAGTATAGAATTAGTTTCATCAGACTAAGCAAGTTTGAGTGATGATGCATTGTAGTAATATCAGACTATAGGATTTTACTTGGTAAAGGATATCCTTGGTTTTCTTTCAAAATCAACAGGTTTGCATTGTGGGTCTCTAAGATAAATCTCAGCCCCGAGGGCAACTGACTTTATGCAAACTGAAGGAAAGATCAGCAAAGCCAGCAGAGTTATGCTTTTGAGTAATGCTCTGACATCTTGCCAGGCTAAGCTTACTAAGTCATATAGTCTTTTTTCTCCAAAATAAGGGATTATGATATGGGTTAGTGTACCCAATCTGACTCTGAAATGTGTATATATACCCCAGCATGTTATTTCGTGTGAACAAGAACAAAATGTATGTTATTTGTCATCTGTAAATCTATAATTTATATACAAGTTCGCTTAAGGAATATAATTTACTACTGTTAAAATTTCCTTTAGAGAATGTTGCAAATGAGAGCCTTCCAGTAACAAAAAAAAAAAAAGAAAAAGACTTAGTAGAGGGCACAGCGTCCCTAATTGTTAGCTATTTGTGATGCGTATTGTATCAGTTACCACAATGAATGTAACACGAACACACAAATCCGGTGTTCAGCAGCATTCTTTGTATTTATCTCCACTTTCTACAATGGCAGTGCAGCGCTACTGTAAGAGTAATGAAGAAAAAAAAAAAGTGATTTAAAAAGTGAGAAGAAATTCCTATTATATCACTTCCAGTAAAAATACTATATACATCATTAAAAAAAAAAAAAAAAAAGAATTGCTTTTTTTTCGGGTCTTGTTTCTTCAGTATTCCCCCCTTCCTGCAGCTTGTCAGAGCCTTTCATTGCTGCAAAAAGAAAGCTGCGATTTGAAAGCAAGATTTAAGTGCTGTCTGAATTTTGGTTTTCCTCTCCATTTGCTTTCACACATGTTTGTGAACTCACAGTTGGATTTCCTCTAACAGGAAATTCCATGATAATTAGCATTAGTGAGCTATGGTGATTGCAGTTCGGTAATTTCACAGGCTCTTTTCAGAATCATTCCCTTTTATAGGAGATGAATGCTAACATGGGCCAAATTCTCAGTTGCTGGGTTAGTGTTACTGAATTAAGCAGTAAAACTATTTATTCTGGCAAATCATGCATGGAATGTTGTGATGCATAGAGTAATTGCAAAAGTAGCACTAGATGACCCACAAATACTGCTGAACCACTGCTGTACAAATACATTTGTTGTTTTAGTAAATAATGTAAACAAAAGGTGAAGTGAGCAGGGCTGGAAATTCCTGGAGGGAAGAGATAAATAACAGTCGAAGAAGAAAGATTGCAGATATTGATTTTTATGAGAAATATGATCTGCAACCATAAGACTTCTGTAAGAACATTGGTCCACCCAGCCAAGGCAC